CACCCCAAATGTCCAGGATTAGAATAAAAAAATCACACATTATCCTCAGAACCAGAAAAATCTCGATTTGAGTGAGTAAAGACATTCAACAAATGCCAGCACTAATATGACCCAGATGTAGAAATTATGTCACAAGGATTTTGAAGGAGCCATTATGAAAATGTCTCAATGAGCAACTATAAATACACTTGAAACAAATGAAAAAATGGAAAGCATCAGCTCAGAAATGGAAAATATAAAGAAGAGCCAAGTAGAAATTTTAAAAACAAAAAATAATTGAAGTAAAAAGCTCAGCGGATGTCTCAGAAGTGGAATGGAGAGGACAACTCTAGAAAATGAAAAACAGAGAAAACAACTTGAAAGCAACAAGAGAGAAATGACACTTTACCTACAAAGTCAAAGACCACTTTGAAAGATAATGGATTTCTCATCCTCATGGAAGTGAGGAAGAAATGTTAGATTTTCAGACAATGAAAGAAAAGAAACATCAACCCCAAATGCTGTATCTGGCTTCCTCAAGTAAATCCTGTATATTCTTCTTAATGAATGTTGAGGAAAAACACACATTCAGATGAATGAAACCCCTGAGAGAATTTGTCAACAGCAAAACATAAGCTAAAATGATTAAAAGAAGTCTTTGAATTAGAAAGGAAATTATGAAGAAGAAATTGTAGAACATAAGAAGAGACAACAACTGTCTGTAAACACAAAAGAGCTGCCTTCTCCTCTTAAGCATTCTAAATTTTGTTTAAACAGTTGAAACAAAAAATGCAATATTCTATTATGTGACTCTCAATGCCTGTAGAGGAAGGAATTAAAAAATAAAATAAAAGGACTTACACAGAGTCAAGAGTTCTATATTTGATTTCAATATCAGTAAATCTTTGTGCTTATGGAAAAATTCTATATCTTGACTGTAGTTGTGGCTACAGGAAACTACACATATAATAAATTAACAGACCTATACACAACATTGTATTAATGTAAATTTCCTGGGTTTGCAACTTTTGTAAATCTTCATTTCAAAATAAACAACAAATAATAGCTTCAAACATTTTTTTAATAGACCATATTCAGAAACATCTTCTGTGAAAAAACATAAAACACACACACTAGAGTAGGTGTAAAATCAGAACAGATTTCCTGAGTAACTAATTGAAGTTTTCTTGTCTTTTTTTTATAGTTATTTATGGCCTGTTTGATTTGGAGAATGCAATCCTGTTTTGATGCTAATGTTATTATCAATGTCTTCTCTTTTATGTCTTCAATAATTAACCTGTGTAAAAGCTCATAGGTCCAGACTTGTGGACACAATGGGGGAAGGAGAGGGTGAGACAAATTGAGAGAGTAGCATTGAAAAATATATATTATCATATGTAAAACAGATAGCTAGTGGGAATTTTCTGTATAACACAGGGAGCTCAACAATAAAGAGGAGTGGGCTGGGGGAGGGGTGGGAGGGAGGTTCATGAGGGAGGGAATATATGTACATTTAGGGCTGATTCATGTTGTTGTATGGCAGAAACCAACACACTTTAAAGCAATTATCCTTCAATTAAAAATAAATTTTAAAAAAAGATTCTAAAAAAGCTCATGGATCATTTTGACTGGGTCATGACTATAGCTGACAACTTTTTAGCATTTCCCGAAGAAAAAAAAGGAAAACTCAAACATTACTCTCAGCTATCAGAGTATAGCAGTAAATACCTTGGAATTCTGAAAGCACCTTTTTTCTTTTTCAGCAAAGTGAAAAAGAACTAGCACAGGAGTCCCAGGATCTATTACTGGCATCTAACTGTGACCGACAAATACATCCAGGCCTTATGCCTTAACTGTGTCTAATTTTCTTATCCACAGGGAAAATCCATCCATATATATAGGATATATTTTCAGGGTTTCTACAAAGTACAGATCACTCCCTTGGATTTGACCCTATCTTCCCCATGAAGTCCTTTTCGAACTATGGGATCTTCTCTACGGGCACAATTGATTTAACTAGTATAGGATTCTCTTTCTTACACTAATGTGAAATTGAGATCCATAGGTACAAACTGGATGAACTTAAGGTCTAATGTTGCCAATTTTCTATATCTATTACTTTTTTCAATTATGAAATATTCCAGACATACAAAAACACCCAATTCCTCCTTGCGCTGAGTGAGGAAAATGTGTTAACATTTTCTATAGTTTTTCAATTTTTTCTAAAATAATTACTAAAAAAAAAAAAATATATATATATATATATAAGATTAGAGACTAGTACAAGAGACATCTGGTTTCCCCGGTGGCTCAGCTGGTAAAGAACCCACCTGTCAAGGAAAGAGAAGCAAGAGACACCAGTTCAATCCCTGGATCTGGAAGATGCCCTGGAGAAGAAAATGGCAACCCACTCCAGTATTGTTGCCTGGAAAACTCCGCAGACAGAGGAGCCTGGTGGGCTACCTAGATAGAGTCTATGGGGTCACAAAGAGTCAGACACAGTCGAGCACACATGCCTCAGTTGGACCACAAGAGATATCAGTCATAAAACAATTACCAAAATTTTGTCATATTCATTGAATCTGTTTTTAATTTATTTTTTAAAATTGTGGTAAAAAATAACATAAAATTTACCATCACAACCATTCTTAAGTGCACAATTTTGTAGTGTTAGCCATATTCCTACTGTTATACAATGAATCTCTAGAAGTTTTTCATCTGGTAAAACTGAAATTCTATGCTCTTTGAACAATTCATTTTTTCCTTCCCCCAACCTCTGGAAACCACAATTCAACTTTCTGTTTCTATGAGTCTGTCTATTATAAATGCTACATGTAGGTGGAACTATACAGTATTTGTTTTTTTATATCTGTCTAATTTCAGTTAGCATGATGTCCTGAAGGTTCATCCATGTTGTAGCGCATGACAGAATTTCCTTCATGAATAACAGTTCAATGTATGTATTATCACAATTTCTTTATATATTCATTGGCTGATGGACATCTGGGTTACTTCCGTTTCTTAGCTGTTATAAGTACTGCTTCAGTGAACACGAGTGTGCAAATTCTCTTTGAAATTGAGTTTTCAATTCTTGTGAATATATGTGCAGAAGTGGAACTGTTGGATAATATGGTAATTATTTTTTATTTTTTTGAGGATCCTCCATACTGTTTTCCAAAGTGGCTGCATCATTTTACATTCCCATTAACAGTGTACAAAGCTTCTAGGATCTTCAACATTTGTTATTTTTTGCTATAGTGGCCATCTTAATGGAGGAGGTAAATATTTTGTTGAAGTTTTCATTTTTCTAATGACTAGTCATGTGGAAGTATTTTTTTCATGTACTTGTGAGCCATCTGTATGTCTTTTTTTGAAGCAATGTCCATTCAAGTCTTTTGCCCATTTTTTAATTTTGTTGCTGTTGTCGTCATTGTTAGAGTTCTTTATACATACTGGATGTACCTCCTTGTCATATATGTGACTTGCAAATATTTTCTCCCACCTGAAGGTTGCCTATCACTCTGTTGGCTATTTCTTTGATTTACAGATGTTTTTAAATTTGATATAGTTTCATTTGTCTAACTTTGTTCCTATGTTCTTGGTGTCCTACCAAGAAATCATTGCCAAATCCAATGTCACGAAGCTTTTCCCCTGTGTTTTCTTGTAGTAATTTTATGGTTTCAGGTCTTACAGTTAGAACTCTAATCCATATTGAGTTAGTTTTTGGTAAATACTGTAAGGTAAAGGTCTGAACTAATTCTTTTACAGGTAGATATTCAGTTTTCTCAACATCATTTGTTGAAAAAACTCTTTTTTCTCTCATTGTGTCACCTTGTCATTTTTGTTGAAGATTATTTGACCATATGTGCAAGGGTATGTTTCTGGGTTCTCTATTCTATCCCATTAATTTAATATGCCTGTTTTTATGCCAGTACCACACTGTTTCGATGACTGTGGCTTTGTATGAAAGTGAAAGTGTTAGTCATTAGTCGTGTCCAACTCTTTGTGAGCCTGTCTATGGGATTCACTAGGCAAGAATGCTGAAGTGGGTAGCCATTCCCTTCTCCAGGAGATTTTCCTGACCCAGGGATCAAATCAGGGTCTTCTGCATTGCAGCCAAATTCTTTACTGTCTGAGCCACCAACTTGACCCATTTGATAAACAGCTTTTCTTTTTTCTTCTTGGTGCATTTTACAGCGAATATCACACAGCATAATTTTACCCCTACATGACTCAGTATGGTTCTAAAATTTATGGGCACTTTCTAACAAAATCACAATATTATTCTCATTCATAATAAAATTGGCACTATTTCTTTAGTATCATCTCATACCTAGTCCAAAGTCAAGTGTACAAATTGCCTCCAAAATATGTTTATTGGTTTTCACCTCAGCTGGTCTCAGCCTGCAGTGAATTGAAGCAGGATTTCGATGCCTGCCAGAGACTGAGGTTGGGCAGCGGCAGGGAAGAGCGCTGAATCCTAACCACTAGATCACCAGGGGCGGTGGCCAGGGGCAAGACGCTGGCCTGTCAGCTGTGTAGAAATTAATTTCCATATAGAGACAGAAAGTAGTGAAACAAGGGTTTATTGGGAGAAAAAAAGAGTACAGTAAGTGTGGGTAGACACACAGGCGGGTTCAGAGAGAGTTGCACCATTGTTGCATGCCATTGTTTAGATTCATTTGCAAATTTCAAACCCTGGGGTTTTTCCATTTCACTGCTCATTCTCATATCTGCTTCCAGGTTTCTACCCAAAATACACAGTGTTCTCTTTCCTCAGAAGTGGATATTTATTGACAAATTATTTCAACCTGGAGTTTGTGGGGTACCAAGTTGTCCCCATTCATTTCTCACTATTCCTGACACTGAACTTTTATCGTGTTATTGTTCTACTGCTGTAGGTGATTTATCATTTGTATTCATACTCTGAAGTTTATGGAAATGTCTTACCTTCTAGTTTTATTTTGATACTGTCAACGGGTTTCTCATTTTCTATCCTAATTGATTCATTTATTTTTCAGGAGGAATATTTGGGAGGTTAAAAACCAATCTTGCTGTCAAGATCACATTATTGGAAGTTCTTCAACTTTATTTTTGTTAAAGAAAGAAAATACTACAATAACACCCCACATCCCAACCCATTCCATTTTCTCTCCTATACCCATTTCCAAAGGTAACCCCATCCAGAAGTTGCTATGTCCTAGTACTATGCATGCTTTGTACTTATACTACACGTATATGCATCCATTAAATATGTATATTTTTCTGTGAGTTTACAATATCTACATATCTGTTTTCATATTATATGTATGACTTGCTACTTGGTTTTCTTTTCTCAAAGTTGTATTTCTCGATATTTATCCACGTTGAAACATGAAGCTCTAAATTGTTACTTTTAACTGCTGTAGTGTATACTATACTTTGAAGAAAACATAATTTGTCAGTCCCTTGCCAAGGGAAAATTATTTCATTTCACTGTAAAAATAAATCATCTGTATAGATGTTTGCTTGTGCACATCTGCATGAGTTTCTCTAAGATAGATACCTAGGGGTGAAAGTGCTGGATTAATGGGCACATGCTTCTTCTATGATCGCATTTATGAAGATTTCCCTCATGTGTGTCCGAACTGATGTTTGTGATATTTTAATTTTTCACATTCTTGTAGGTATGAAATGGTATCTTATTGTTAATTTGTTTTACATTTTCCTGATCAAGATGTGAGGTTGAGAATCTTTCCAAATCTTATTGATACTTTAGTTTTCTTCCATGATGTCCGGCAATAAAATTGACAATTTCACCTGAGTTATGTGTCAATTTCTTAATGACTTGTGAGAGTTTTTAAAATATGTTCTGGATAATAATGCCTTTTTAATGTTTTTATTGAATACAACAGATTATTCTAAAGTCTTCTGTATATCTTCTCTCTCTTTGTAATTCTACCTGTGCTGCTATCTTTGTCTTTATCTCAAAAACCCCTTCTCTCCCTACAGCTCAGACTCTGCCCATGGAAACATCTTTGAAAACAGGGAGCATACTAACTTTTTCATTTTCCCAGATCTCCATCTCTAAACTGTCACTTCCAGGACCATCATTTAAATTTCTTAATGGAACATCCTTTCTTTCTGAAGCATTGACTCTCATGCAAACAGATGTTAAGAGCAGAAGTATTCTGCCTTTATGACAACCTAATTATCAGGATCATATTCTTTATTGGTGAAAAATAGTGTTTTTCCTTTTTCCTGAATGTCTCTTATGCTTTTCCTCTTTCTGGACCTTTCCTGTTCCATGTCTTTATCAGAATCTTGCAAGTCTGGTAAATGCAGTAAACAAAATGTTAGGTGTGTGATAAATTATGATAAGGATGATATGAAAAAGAAATTCTAATTATTTTATATACGTAGACCATGTAATGATATGAGAATTTTATATTATTGCAAAATGAAACAGTTGAGGTGACAATGTCAATATTGAAAAGGGTTGATGTTATGAGTCTGGAAAAAAAAATAAGTTTCTAAGATATGCCAGATCATATAATCACATTGCCTCCATACAAAATACTGATAATGCATAAATTCCTCTAGAAGATTCCATAGGCTTGTAAGTCTGAGCAAGGCTGTTTTAAATACTGACATCTAGTTAAAATATACAGATCAGAGATTTTCTTTGTTTTATTTCACTTTTCTTTTTGGTTGGCTCTTCTCTTAATATAAACTAGAGAAATAAAGGCATGTGTAACTGCTTAGTTAACAATTTGGATCACAATTTAAACTTTTCATTATTTTTCATTTTATTTTTAAACATAGACATCTTTTTGATTTCATGAATAAAGCCTCCAATTTTGTTTTTTTCTTACTGAAGTTCTTAAAGAAGTAATATTTTAACATTTGAGAATATAAGACCAAAGATGATGATAACATTCAACTGTTACTGTATTTCATAATCTAGAACAATTTTCTTTTTATAGGCAAATGCATGGAACAGTTAGGAGGGTGGATTACAATAATATTTGTGGAAGAAACAACCGACTTGAAATAATGTATCCAGTCCAAGTTTGAATCCAATATGATTTTTTAATCTAAAGCAGAGCTATAGTCTAAAAGCAATGTTTGGATTCTGAATGACTCAGATTTAGACAGAAAAAATACTAGCGTGTGATGTTTAAGATTGTCAAAAATGTGAGTGATTTTATTTGAAAAATGACAAACATTCTTCAGAATTCCAGGCCTCCTAGTTATTTTAATAGAAATATGTTGGAGGAAGGCTTATAAACTCTCTTGTTTTCATTAACTTATACTTGCACCATGTGGGAATTCGCTTTGAAAATTGATAAATTCTTATTCAGCTCAAAAAGTGAAGCCCTAGATTAGGGTTTTTCTCAATGCACAATGCAAAAAGCTAATAATTCTATTTGAAAAAATTCATTATTATTATTTAATAATAGTATTAACTTATTAAAATAATAATCACTATTATTAAAATTCATTATTATTATTTTTTTCATTCTGTTCAGCTTTGTGCTTCATCTGTCCCAAAGTTTTTTGTTCATTTTAATGATAAATGTAGTATTTATACTAGCTTCAGGTTGTAACTTTTACCCTAAATTCTCAATCCCTGATATACAATTGAAACCATTCTCATGAATGGTCAGTTTAAGAAGGGGCAGGCAAGCCTCATACTCCATAACTTTTTCCAAAAGCTTTCATTTCCAAGTAAATTTGGTCTACTTTTATCTGCTATTAATTTAGCACCATGAGCTTAATATCATTTATTTAACCAGCCAGTTCATAAATATTTGTATTAAGTCCTTGTATACACTAGGCAATAATTTACTTATGACTCAAGTTTTGAATTCTTTCTTCCTTAAATTAACAAAATTTAGAACTTGTGTTTTTATCCTCAAATATTCTAATAATTTATCTCTTAAAAAAACAAACGACCCTATACTAATGAGATGACTAAAATTCCCAACTGTCATTGTTGTCTGACCATACTTCTTAGAACTATAATAAGTGGCAGTTTTTATAGTTGTGGCACTTCACACACATCAATTATCCTTGTGAAAATCCTACAGACTCTTACTGAGAAATAGTAGTGCCTCCTCCAACATTCCCGAAGGAGTATAGCCTGTGACTTTGCAGTAGACGCTAGGACAGACAGCAGTGCCAAGAACAAACACCAGTGCCTGCCACTAGGCAGGCAGGCCCACGTTCTGGAAGGTTCTGGGAGAGAGAAGTCATTGAGTAGAAAATAAGATGATCCACATTTCCTCCCAATGCAGCCAAGACTGCTCAATAGGTCCACAAACAGAAAAGAAACCTAAGTCAATATTTATTTAGCTCCTCCAATGTCTGAGTACCAACTTGGACCCATACTGCTAAGTTTTAGTGCCTAAAAATCCACATGACCTGGGACAAAAATGTCTCATCACTGTAGTTTTCTCATCTATAAAATGAAGACAACAACATATATTTTTCAGAATTCTCTACCATAATTCAATACATTTGTTCTTACAAAGTGCTTAGAATAGTGTCTGGTCCAAAGTGAGCATTCCATAAATATTTGCGGCTATTATTGTATTACCGTTGCTGCTGTCATTGATAAAAGCGGTCACACACCAATAGGACGTGTTACAGCAGAACTTCAGCAAACATTCTGTTGATTTAACTATTCTGATCATTTGGGACATGAAATCTTCATCAGAATTATGTGCAAGATCTTATTAAGCTCAGGTACTTCTCTGGAACAACACCAGTATGTTTTATTGTTTTTCCCTGTAGGGTAAGTCTTCCTATTAAATCTAATCATGACTCATGAGGAGCCAGAGGTTTATAAACAGTGCTTTTTAGATGCCCAGGAGTTTCAAAGGGGGCCTTGACCTGTGGTCATCTTGAAGTGTCAAAATGGGCATGCTTTCCTCCCCAAATGACTCATGTCTTCTACCTGGAGGCAGGATTGCTTATGACCTTGACAACTTTAGCCCAGCTGACTGCTCCCAGTAGTTCCATGCTGGGAAGAGGAAGCTGGTGTTATCAGATGACTGCTCAGGAATGTGACCCAAAGGGGACCTTAACTGCGACAAAGAGATGGTCATATAGCTCTCTTTGGCTGGTTGTTTTACACAGTGACTGCAACTCTTGATGTCTATGAGCAATACTGAGGTCACCTTCAACAGTTTCTCTTCCTGTAAACAGGGCAAGGAATGCTGTGAAATAAGCAAATGAGTGACAACAAGTGGGAGTCACCATCATTTCCGATCCCATTAGCCAATATGACACTATGTGCTAGCCCTGGACCTGGGTTTTAGTAACCCTTAGATATTTTTGGCTGCTTTGTTTAAAAACTGAACTTGAAAGCCATAAATACTAGTGAGGTTGGATGGTGTAGCTGAGAGATTTCAGGATTTGAAGGGATCAAATCTCAGCCCCATTACTAAATAGCTTTGTAGCCTTGGTCTTATAACGTATCTATGTGTTATCACCCCAATTTGTAAAATGGTTATTATAATAATGACCTCTATAGATTTATGAAAGTGAAGTGAAGTGAAAGTCACTCAGTCGTGTCCAACTCTTTGTGACCCCATGGACTATATACAGTTCATGGAATTCTGCGTGGAATTCTGCAGGCCAGAATACTGGAGTGGGTAGCTACTTCCTTTTCCAAGGGATCTTCCCAATCCAGGGATCAAACCCAGGTTTCCTGCATTGTAGGTGGATTCTTTGCCAGCTGAGACACAAGGGAAGCCCAGATTTATGCAAAGATGAAATTAAAAAGCATAAGGTCTGTACTCAGTAGTTATTGGTTCCTTTTTCATTATGTTATAAAATAATTGTATCCAATCCTTCCATCCACAAGATTGTGTCAAGCGTTAGAAGACATTCACATATTCACGTTGGGGTCTATCACTCCATCCACTCTAACCATCCTTGTTGTTCAAACATAGTAGACATTCTCCTGATTGAGGGCAATTAATTCAGCTGTTCTCCCTCCCTGAATAACTATGTGTATGGGCTGACTTTTTTAATCTTCTTCAGCTGTGCTCAA